GTGGGTGGAAATCCCCGGCCGTCCGCGGGCAGTACAACTGAGAGGGGGAAAAGGAAACTGCCCAGTCTGCAGCCTTGGTGGCGGGCCGAGTGCAGAGCTTGGAGCCCGCGGGGGCGGAGCGGCGAGAGCGGCCGCCAGGAGAGATCACACCCCCGGCCGATCAGGCCCGCCAGCGAGCTTGACCCCGGGCGTCCATGGGGCATCGGCCCGGCCCGGCCCCGGCCCCAACCCCCGTCTGCTGCGCGCGCCTGCCCTGACCAGGACTTGGGACTTTGGGAGAGGACTGTGCGGCCCGGAGAGGTAACCGCCGCGCCTCCCCGCGCCGCCTGCCAGGGGCTCACTGCTGCCAGGGGCTGCGGGTGCGTCGTGGGCAGCGACCCCAGGGTGTGCCCGTCCGCCTGGCATTTGCAGCGGTTCTGGAGGGGACCTTGTTGGCCGTCTGTCCCATTCTAGGTTTTGAAGTGCTGGGAGTTTGGGGTGCCGCTCCAGATGTTTGGGTGACAGCCCTGGATTCCTCCAGCCAGCTGTTCCTTGCAAATAATGCACGGGACTTCAGCTGCAGCTGACTGGTGAAGTGTCGCCCTTCGGGCCCCCTGGTCGGGTAGTCGTTGGTGCGTCGCTCCTTGTAGCGTCTTTTTTGGAAGCAAGTGCTGCATGCTCACGGCCACGTAGATCTTGCAGAAGCGCTGTGGCTTCTTTCCAGATTGTGCAGAACCAGCCCAGCGGGGGTGGGGTGCCACAGGGGCAGTCAAACCAGGCAGGGGTGAGTGGGCTTCAGTCTGCTACCTTCCTGGGACAGTTTCCAGACGCAGGGTTCTGTGCAGGAGCTGGGGGTAGGGGTCCTTCTTTTTCAGTTGCAGCTGTGTGAAGGAAGATGCACGTAGAAGTGGGTCGACGGCCTACCTTTGGGGGGCTCCACTTTTGCAGCGACCTGGGGGCCCCTGCTCCAGCCCCTACCCCACAGTCAGACTGTCTTTGTCAGCCCAGGTCGTCCCACATCCTGCCACCTGGCCTCTCAGGAAAGCAGTGGTATTAAGTAAGGAAGGAATTTAGCTCTTGTTGAGCCCGCTTTGTTTTCAGTTCTCCCTACTTCTGATCTTTCCTTGGAAAGCCAGTCTGGTCAAGTGTCTCAGGGCAGCGTTTTGGAAGAACCAGTGTTAATTAAAGAGTCTTCTGGATCTCAGCTCTAATGTCACAGATTATTGAGCAGTCAGTGGGTGCTCTTCTTTGTTGTTTAAGGTGCTTCTTTGATTTTTTGTTTTTTGCAATTCTTTATACAATGTTTGAATTTTTGGAGGCATATCTCTCCAAATTTGGGTGAAGTATTTGTTGATAAATAATTCAAAAATTTCCACGTCTCAGACACAAATGTCTGCCCAAAGTGAAAAAATAAAACAAGAAGAGGAGTTTGAGTAATATAAGTTCTGTTGAATCCCATTATCCTAAGGACAAAAATAGGGGAATTATTTTTAATTATGGTGGTGAAGTAACACATGTTTTTAAAAAATGTTAAGGACAAGATTGTATTTTTTGGTCTATAAGGACCTTATAATCAGATGTCAGAAAAATGTGTTCCTTAATCGTAAGTGTGGAGAAGTTCAAGAACTGGATGCTTAGACGGTGGGATATGATTTGGAAGGAGGCAGTTTGTAGGTTGGGCAAGGCTAAATCTATGAATGAGATTATACTGGGCTATCAGATACTGACATTTCCATGTCTTGCGTATAGTTTACAGCTCTCACTGTTTTAGATCTTTGCTAAAAAATCTTCAGGTCTAGAGAGTAAAATAGAAGAGTCAGAAAAGCAAAAAGAAGCAACAGCTAGTTTGTTTAAAGTCTTCCTAGTGCCCGTCTGTTTCCATGTGCAATTGGCAGGCACTGTAGCCACAGGCACCTTGTGCAGGATTACCAGAGGCAGGCATTGGAAGACCCGGCTCCTAGGCGAAGTTTTTCTATTGAATGGCTCTAGGACTTGCACAGCAGCTGTACCTCCATTGCCTTAGATGCAGTCTAAAGCGGTGGTGTGATTTCCAGGAGGAGAATAAAGTCATCTTTGATTTTTAGACCCAGTGTCAGGCATGGTGATTGTCTTTCAGTAGATGGTCAAGCAGTGCTTGTTAGGTGGGTGGATGGAGGGATGAATCACATCGTGAAGGAGACTTTTGCTATGACACAAAGGAAAAGAATATGTGGTATTTTTGTCCCTTCATTGTATTTGTAGTCCTGCTATGATTTTGCGCAACTCTACCTGTAGGGAATGTCTGACATCAAAGGAGAGATCACCATCCGACTCAGAGAATGACTTCTCCCAGGCCTTATTTAGCAATCAGATTAAGAATCCCAATCCAAAACTATCACCAGAAAACTCCTCACAAGCAACCCCAGGGCTTGTTTACTCCAACCTCTCTCCTTTGAGTGGGCCACAGTAATTTAGACCACCTTATCAATAGCTTTATGAAAGCTTAGACCCATCAGGGAGCGGCTACCCTAAAATCTAGGTTTCTTCTCTCTCTTATCTAGATTTAACATCTTTATCAACCAGAGGGTTACCCTGGCAACTGGGTGATACAGGAGTGGGATTAACCATCACTGCAAAATTTCCTAGGGAATATATACTCCGGAATCATCTTTGTCTTTTTGGAAAATAGGCTGTGTGGCCAAACACCCTACTACATGCTAGTGAATCAGAGCTGGTTCTCTACACAGCTCTGCACCAAGGAGATATCACGTAATACTAATTCCCATCATCCCTCACTGCTGGCATGGGTCATAGATGCTGGTGTTCTGAGTGTCCTCCTGGCTGAAACTTTTTCCTTGACTGCTTCCAAACTTCATTTTCTCCATCGTTGATTACGCTTGTAGATTTCAGGGTGAGGGACAGGGCAGAAGTGCATCTGAGTGACGGTACCTGGTAGGCGATGATAAAACTTGGATGGCAGTTGAATTGAGATCATTTAGCTCCAGTGTCTGTTCTTGAAAGTGTAGAATTTATTGTTCTGTTATTGTTTTTATTGTGCTTCTTCTCTGATGTAAAAGTCTGGGGGAGAGGTTCTGAAGAATTGCTACTTGCTCTTAAAATCGCACAGCCTCTCGCTGGAAATAGGCTTTTGGTTGATTGTAAAATGTTCGGTTTTAACTCTATAAATTTTATAATAAACTTTATGAGTAAGTCCTTTGTCAATACTGTTCTTTGGGTTTAAAGAGGAAACATCAATCAGCAACCTAGGTGACAGCAGAACACTGCAGGATTTTTCATAAAATATTTAACTGTCCTTTCAGCCCAAGGAGGTAATGACACATCAAGAGTTTTGCCTGAGAGCAGGGGTTGCTTGGTAGTGTCTTAGGGGAGGAGCTACAGAATTGTCAGGGCTATATTGTACCCTTAACTAGCATTCAATACTCCCCAAATCCAGTGCTCTTCCAGAGTGGCATCAGAATGAAATAGGAGCTTAAGTCGGTTTTGAGGAGCAGTACCTGTTGCTGACAGACAGGCTTGGCTCCCTGACAAATGTTACTGAAAACACGGGTTATTCCCCTCCTCCTCAGTACCCACTCTCCGCCTTCCTTCTCTTGTTTAGACTAATCTTTAAAAGTGATGTAACTTAAAACAGTCCAGTGTGAGTTAATCTTTGGGGCTAGCTAGTATCCTGGGAGTCGAGGTGACTAAGATCTTTTGCCTACAGATTAGGGTAATGACAAGATCAAACACTGGGATTTCCTGCAGGCAGGTATATAGCAGTAGTATCAAAGTCGAGCTAACGGAATGGGTTTTTTCCCCCCTCCCCTTCAGGTGTCGGAGATCACAATGGCTGAACAACTCCTTCCTCAGGCTTTGTATTTGAGCAATATGCGGAAAGCTGTGAAGATAAGAGAGAGAACTCCAGAAGATATTTTTAAACCTACCAATGGGATCATTCATCATTTTAAAACCATGCACCGATACACACTGGAAATGTTCAGAACTTGCCAGTTTTGTCCTCAGTTTCGGGAGATCATCCATAAAGCTCTCATTGACAGAAGCATCCAGGCTTCCCTGGAAAGCCAGAAGAAGCTCAACTGGTGTCGAGAAGTGCGGAAGCTTGTGGCCCTGAAAACGAATGGTGAGGCTTGCTCTGTTGTGCTTCCTTTGGCTGGGGAGGAGAGGCTGGGTCACCATTCATGACGTTTCTATAGCACTAGCCCGAGCTCAAATCTCTTGAGATTTAGTATAGACCCCTCAGCACAGAGACTCTGTGAGAGCCGTGTGATAAAAGCAAACATGGCTTGTGAATATTTTTATTAAGGATATTTCCTAATTGCATATATTAGGAATATATATATTTCCTAATTGCATGACCCAGTTAGGCGATTTATTTCTAAATCTAGTGACTGTTTAATCATCTGTAAAATACCCTTCCCCGACGAGTAATGTTAGAAGGCTTTACGTTCAGAAGGAACGCATAGTGTGAACGCATAGTGTGAAAACTGGTATTACTGTTGTTTCCTACTGGCATTAGCAAACGCTTGTGATGTTCATACACTTGAATTGGTGGCATTTTGTGGGTTAACCATTGCATGGCTGTTGGGGATGTGAGGGGTTCCTTTTACCTCCTCCTTTCTTACCTGGATTCCATTGCCTGTGGTCCCATAATGTGAAATGGAAAGATATTTGAGATTTTTAGCATGGATTTTAAACCTCGACCTCATAATGTTCAGGGATTCCTAGCCACTGAATTTCTTCCTGTCTGTGCTTTTCTGCCCAATGGCCTTTACTACTAATAGCTATTTCCTATTCCAAGCTTTATTGTTTTGTTTTTTAATCATTCCCCTTGAGTAAGAGTATGTAACTGATAGGAACATTCGAGCATACTGTTTCATACAGGTACAAAATTCTACCCTATGGATGCAGATAATTATTGTAGTAAGCAAGTATTATACTAGATGACTGAGAACTGGAAAAAAGAAAAAATAATAAGCAGTAGACTGTACCAGATCAATTAAATGTTCATCGCTTAAGTAAGAGCAGGAATCTCGGGTCCTTACATTGGCGACAGTCCCAGACCATCCTGATCAAAATAATATATCCAAGAGCAGAAAATCCTTGTTGACAAGGATTATCCTAAGAACATTAGCTTAATTAACTTAACTGGTACATTAACTGGCTATTTTTGACTTGGGTAACCTAGGGTGATTGGTGGACCTGTTTGTTTGTTTTCTTGTTTGTTTTGATTCTGGGGCTCTTGTACATCCCCTCAACGTCTTGCCTATGTTTTTGAGACACAGATTCTTAGAAACATAGGTAGAAAGAAAACTGGGGCTAGCTACTGTCTGCATTGTTGTTCGCATTAAATTAAGTGATGTGTGGTAGGTAACTATGTTAAGTCATCCTCAAGAGGTCTGACAATTTGTGGTTTTAACCCTTTACCATTCTGAAAAAAAAGAGATGGCGTCAACTTTGGGAGGGGTGGAAACCGAGATTCTGCCAAATTAGAAATGTGATAGGAAGGAGGCCTTATTATAATCAATAGAATTAACTCGTATTTTGTTCCATTTCCTTATGAAAGGAAATGCTGTACTTCCATGGAATATAAATATAATAAACACTTATTTTGCAAACGTATGCCATTTAAATCAACAAGGAGTCACTATAAATAAAACTACAAAAGCAACTGCCTTTTGATAACATTTTCTGGGAAATAGGGATTTTTAGGCTTAGAATCTTTTTTCCATTTTTAAGAAAATTCCTTAAAATTCTGCTAGAGGAAGAAAAGATGTTTAAGGGAGGAGGAAAACAAATGACTTTTCTTCTTTGATTTTTATTAGCCCATTTTGTTTTAATACCTCCCCTGATACGAAGGTTCTTCAAAGGCAATGGTCTGTTTGGGGAGGGGGTGATTCACAAGCTTGCATTTGAGGATATGAGACCGCAGTGAATGAGGAAGGGAGTAGGTGGCATAAAATTGAAACTTCATGTGAAAAATTCCAGCGTCTATTGGCTGCAGCGATTTCACTTGTATAATGAGTAGCCCTATTCCAACTCACCCTGACCACACCCACTTGGAAAGTCCAGGGTGCACTTCGCAGTTTAAATGTCTACACACCAGAACAAAAAGTACAATAGCTGTTGCTCAATTGCTAGTCAAATAACTTAGCACTGGGGAATTCCAGATGTTACTTAGGGAATTTTATACTGGTGCATCTCAATAAAGAACTGAAAGTAAGCACAAGAAGAAGAAAAAAAGCCTTATCTTTGCTCTAGATTTTGCAAAGGGGAAATTTCAACAGAATGCAATCGTTGCCACACTTCTGCCAAGACACAAGGCTTGAGTGATCTTTTTAGTTCATGTGTTTGGATACTTACTTAGCTAGTTTTTCCAAGTGTGTAAATTGAAGGAATGCTGTCTGGATATATATTTGAGATTTTTGTTATGTTTTGTTTTTTACAGTTTGACAGCAATTAAAATTTTATAAAAATTTCAGCAGTTTATTGCCCTTATTATAGAGTAATGTAAGAAACAGATTAATTTTTCTTTATACAAACTATTTTGCCCTTGCCAAAGGAGATTAAGGAGCTAATGTTTTTGTTTTAAACACTCTCCCAAAATGTTTGTTATTTGAGAATTGAAACAAATGCAGTCTATTGAATTGTGAGTTTTAACTTGGAAAAGTCACCAATTAATGGAATGAAATTAGACCTTTTTTTTAATCTCAAAATATCAGCCCTAAACACTGAATTATTTTCAAACTTAGACACCCAAGTACTTTTTAGCGTTTACTTTATTTATTTATTTTTTATTTTTATTTTTTGAGTTGGAGTCGCACTCCGTCACTCAGACTGGAGTGCAGTGGCCACTCCCAGCCACTGCAGTCTCGACCTGCTGGGCTCCAGAGATCCTTCCGACTCAGCCTTCCAAGTAGCTGGAACCACAGGCATACGCTACCACTCCCAGTTAATTTTTTATTTATTGTAGAGATGAGGTCTCACCAAGTTGCCCAGGCAGGTCTCAAACCCGCGGCTCAGGCAATCCACTCACCTTGGCCTCCCAAAGTGCTGGGATTACAGGCTGAGCCACCGAGCCCGGCCACTTTTTAGCTTTTAAAGAGGACTTTACAATTGCAAATAAACAGGTTCATATAAGGAATTATTAGAAGCCAGGATTGGCAGGCTGTAGGTAATTCAGTATTGTCAACCCACTTTACAAACCAGGAGAGGAAACTCCCAGGTCCCAAAGGCAAAGTGGAATGGTCAAGTCATTTACCACTGAGTCATAGCCAGACCGTCCCTGTCTAGCCAGCCATGCCTGTTTCCTGGTTTGTGCATGCTGTCCTGTGTGTGTGTGTGTGTGTGTGTGTGTGTGTGTGTGTCTTCCTTAGAGTTAGAGAGCAGTAGTGCCATTGCCTTTGCTAGCAAATCAAGGAATGATAGAAAGATATGAGGCTTTAGAGATCATAATCCAGTACCCTCATGTCTCAAAGAGGGGAAATTCCCAGAGAGCCTAAAGGATCTCCCCAAAGTCACCTAAACTAGTTAGGAGCAGAGCTAAGCTGGAACCAAGGTCCCTGGGTTCCTTTGCTCTATTAGTATCATTCATGAAGAATGAATGATACTAATATGTGGGGTACAATTCAGGGTTAGATATACAGATGTTCATTATGCAGGTACCCCTGTTGATGAGGTGTGCTCCCCGGCTCCCCCGGCAGATTACCACTTCTTAAAGGTGTCATCACCTTGTGGAATGTCAGTTGGCCCTTGACTAAGAAATTAAACCAAATGAAGTCATTCAGTCCCCTCTCATGGCAGTAGGGCTAGTTTATTCTGAAAGCCTTTACTGAGCCTTAAATCCAGATGACTTGACTCTGCTTCTCTTCCCTTCCCTTCTGTCCTCAGGTGATGGCAACTGCCTCATGCATGCGGCTTCTCAGTACATGTGGGGTGTTCAGGACACAGACTTGGTTCTGCGGAAGGCACTCTTCAGCACACTTAAGGAGACAGACACACGCAACTTCAAGTTTCGCTGGCAACTAGAGTCTCTCAAATCTCAGGAATTTGTGGAAACGGGGCTTTGTTATGACACTCGGGTATGTTTTATCCCCTCTTTAAGCATCTATTGGTAGAGCTTTCTGGTGGGTTAAGGTTACCCTGGGCCAGTCCCTGCCCTTCAGGAGCATGTGATGGACTAGGTCATAAGAATTTGGCCAAGTACAACATACTCGAACCCACAGGCTCAGGCAGTCCTCTCACCTCGGCCTCCCAAAGTGCTGGGATTATAGGTGTGAGCCACCATGCCCGATCAAGCACAACATACTCAATGGATGGAAAACACCAGAAACCACATGTGGGATTAACCTGAGGCTTTGCCACTGCTTTTGGATAACAGATTTCCAGCTGTGAATCTCTGCATTTTAGATGCAAGTCTTCTGTCCATGACCTTTTCCTTTGGCATTCTTGTTTTTTGGTTTGATTGCCCTCAGCATGCTTTGCTGAGTCAGCCAGTCAGTTAAGACACATGTCTTCCCATTCTCGGGCACAAGTTTGGAATTTTTGTGTACATTTGGATGAGGGGCTTCAGTGTTTTGCCTCATGAGGGACTTTTTTTGAAAGCAGGTGCTGTTCCCATCCTCCTCCTCTCCTGAGTTTGCCTTGTAGTGGAAAAAAGTAAAGGAAGGAAAACCAAAATGGGGGGAAAGGGGTGACCATTTGAATGATGGTTTCATGGAAAGAAACAAAATAAGCTGAGTGCTATAAATGAATAATCACAGAGTGATGTCGGAGTGACTGTTTAATGCAGAATACACTCAGTTTCTTTTCCCTTCACCTCTCTCCCCTTAGAACTGGAATGATGAATGGGACAACCTTGTGAAAATGGCTTCCACAGACATGCCAGTGGCCCGAAGCAGTCTTCAGTATAATTCACTGGAAGAAATACACATATTTGTCCTTTGCAACATCCTCAGAAGGCCTGTCATTGTCATTTCAGGTGAGATGCCTGCAGATCGCTTATCTGTATTTAAGTGCTTTTCAGCTTTAATGCAGTGACTCAGGGAAAATCCACACTACCAAAGTTACAGGTAACAATTAGTTAAATGGAATTTGATGAAAGTCACCTCAGGGCCTAATTGTTGTATTCTCGTTCCTTGAACAGACAAAATGCTAAGAAGTCTGGAGTCGGGTTCCAATTTCGCACCTTTGAAAGTGGGTGGAATTTACTTGCCTCTCCACTGGCCTGCCCAGGAGTGCTACCGATTTCCCATCATTCTCGGCTACGACAGCCAACACTTTGTACCCCTAGTGACCCTGAAGGACAGTGGGCCTGGTGAGAATTCTGCATCAATTCACATTCATAACTCCTGTTAGATACTGCAACATCAGAGTTTGCACTGTTGCTCCTTATTAAAATCATATTATTTAAGTGTATCATTTGGACTTAAATATATCACTCTATCATTCGTCTGGTTAGTAACAGTGATGCAATAGCAGTAATTATCATACCACCTATAGCTCAGTGAGTATGACTTGGACAGTACTCTTGGCATGTTAATTGCAAGTAGGAGACATATATATACATATCACTACTGCCACTATTACTACATGATAAATTAGGGCACACACAACCCTTAATACAGTGCCTGGCATGGAGCAGGTAAATGTCTGTCAAGTTAGCTATTATTTTTATAGTTTCATGTGCAGTAAGCACTGTGCTAAGTGCTATAGGTATTTTATTTTATTCCGTTTTATACTCACAGCATTCCTGTGAGACGTAGGCATTGGTAGCCTTATTTTACAGATGAGGCAGTTGAAGCTCAGGAGGTTAAATAACTGGCCTAATGTCACATGGCTAGATAGTGACAAAACCAGGATTCAAACTCAGGTCAGTCCGATTCTGAAGCGTGAGAATTTAACCAGTAAGATCTGCTGCCTCCCAGCTCATTACTGTTCTGAGCTTCCTGGAAATAATGTATTTTATATTTACAGCACATTTTATTTACTCATTTGGATTTAACTGTGGCTAGGTAATACTTTTCTATTTTGTAAACTATATTTTCTGTATTTTAAAAATGTAATTTATATATAAATATATGACCTCATTCAGTAAAGCACTGTTTTACTTTTGTGTTGTTTTTTTTTTCACCCTCAGAAATCCGGGCTGTTCCACTTGTTAACAGAGACCGAGGAAGATTTGAAGACTTAAAAGTTCACTTTTTGACAGACCCTGAGAATGAGATGAAGGAAAAACTCTTAAAGGAATACTTGATGGTGATCGAAATCCCTGTCCAAGGCTGGGACCATGGCACGACTCATCTCATCAATGCTGCAAAGTAAGCAGCTTAGGTTTAGCTCTATTCCTTGTCGTCTGTCACTGTTTGTACTTCAGTCATGTGAGCAGCTGCCACACAGAAGCTCAACAATAAAGTCATTTGTAGTCAGTTTCCACCAATGTGAAACAAATTCAGAATCATAGCCGGGCTCGGTGACTCAGCCTGTAATCCCGCACTTTGGGAGGCTGAGGTGAATGGATTGCCTGAGCCCGCGGGTTCGAGACCCGCCTGGGCAACTTGGTGAGACCTCATCTCTTCAATAAATCAAAAAAAATTAGCCGGGCGTGGTAGCGCGTGCCTGTAGTTCCGGCTACTTGGAAGGCTGAGGCGGAAGGATCACCGGAGCCCAGCAGGTCGAGGCTGCGGTGGCCAGGAGCGTCCACGGCACTCTAGTCTGGGCAACAGAGTGAGACTCCAACTCAAAAAAAAAAAAAATTCAGAATCATGAGCAGGGTTAGAAAGGATCTCCGAAGGTAGTACTAACTTTGATTCAAATGGGAACGAATAATTTATCCATAATGATTTTCTTGGCTGTCTGGATGCTAAGAGGCAGAATTGTGGGTTTTAAAAGTACATTTACATCAAGGATAGTTATTTGTTTTTTTAATTGATCTAGTACCTATTTAAAACATCAAGTGAAAACACTTGGAGACAAAAGCCTTTTTCTCCTGGCTTCTTGGTAAGGACAGACACATCGGATACAGACTGAGTTGGAGAATGGGTCCACGTGACAGATTTTGCCACATGGGAATGGAAGGAGTACACACAGTATACACATGGGACACGTAGTGCAGGTATCCAGTCTTTAAACACCGGCTTTATGTTAAACATGCCTGTTTCTGAGCACTGCAAGAGATGACAATGAGGGCGTAAGATCATTAGTTTCTCAAAGTGGAGGTTTGCAAATTACAGAGTCAGAAGTAAATAGACAGCACCTTTGGGTGTGTCTGACTCTTAATTACTCATGGTAGCTAACGCTGGTAGAGACCAGAAGCAAAACAGAACACAAAGTTCCAAAGTAATTTATACTATAGATTAGTACCAAATGAATTTGATCTCTGAGAAGTTAGAAAGTAAAAATGACTTTTTAAAGTAGCAGTAGAGCCATAAGATGCAGAGGCAGCCCCAGAGTAACCTGTCCTTAGAACTCTCTATAATTTGGAGTGGACCAAGATTGGTTAAATGCGACTGTGATTTTGAAAATGATGAGGTCATTGCCTTGCTAAGTTATGGTGTGGTCGTGTGCCCTTTGAGCTATGTCCGGGCCATGTTTCCTGGCTTTGGCCCTCTCCCCTACCTTGAGGAGGTGAATCTCCTCTTTCTCATTTTCTGTCTCTCCAATTTACTTTCTAAATAAGCTATATTTTTTAATCTAAAAAAAAAAGAAAATGATGACATCTTCTGAGCAGATGAACTTCGATCATATTTGACTATAGACCATGTTAGTAATGTATGTGGGACTGCCTTGTGCTAGAAGGATAAGCTTTTCTTTCTTTCTCTCTTTTTTTTTTTTTTTTGGTTATTTTATTTATTTATTTATTTATTATAAAGATGTGGGGTACAATTCAGGGTTAGGTATACAAACGTTGATTATACAGGTACCCTTGTTGACAAGGTATGCCCCTCCCTCCCCTAGCAGTTTCCCTCAACTGCCAGTCCCACCTTCCCTCCCCTGACAGTTTCCCACTACTGCCAATCCCTTTCTTATAGTATTACAATTGTTCGAGGTCCGCTTATGAGCGAGAACATATGGTCCTCTGTTCTTTGTTTCTGTGATAGATCACTGAGTATGATCGAGTCTAAATCCACCCAGTAGAAGGACAAGCTTTTCATCCTAGGCCTGTGTAAACAGTGAATGGCTAGAAAAGTTATGGTTGCCATCCGCATTCTAAAAGTTCGTTCTCTGAGCTAATGGCATGAAATCTTGTGTGTGATCTTTTTGTAGTCTCATATTTTTCCTCTCTGTCTTCAGGTTGGATGAAGCTAACTTACCCAAAGAAATCAACCTGGTAGATGATTACTTTGAGCTTGTTCAGCACGAGTACAAGAAATGGCAGGAAAACAACGAGCAGGGGAGGAGGGAGGCGCATGCTCAGAACCCTTTGGAGCCCTCCGTGCCCCAGCTTTCTCTCATGGATGTAAAATGTGAAACGCCCAACTGTCCTTTCTTCATGTCCGTGAACACCCAGCCTTTATGCCACGAATGCTCAGAGAGGCGGCAAAAGAATCAAAACAAACTCCCAAAGTTGAACTCCAAGCCAGGCCCCGAGGGGCTCCCTGGCATGGTGCTGGGGGCCTCTCGGGGAGAGCCCTTGGCTTGGAACCCCGAGGAGATGGCTGGGGGGCCTCACTCGGCTCCACCGACGGCGCCCAGCCTTTTCCTGTTCAGTGAGACCACCGCCATGAAGTGCAGGAGCCCTGGCTGCCCGTTCACGCTGAACGTGCAGCACAACGGATTTTGTGAGCGCTGCCACAATGCCCGGCAGCTACATGCCAGCCACACTGCAGACCGCATGAGGCATCTAGATCCCGGGAAGTGCCAAGCCTGCCTCCAGGATGTCACCAGGACATTTAATGGGATCTGCAGTACTTGCTTCAAAAGGACTACAGCAGAGCCCTCCCCCAGCCTCCCTCCCTCCTGTCACCAGCGGTCCAAGTCGGACCCGTCACAGCTCAGCCGGAGTATCTCCCCTCATTCTTGCCACAGAGCTGGAAATGACATCCCCTCTGGCTGTCTCTCTCAGGCCATACGGACTCCAGGGGACAGGATGGGTATGAGCAAGTGCAGAAAAGCTGGATGCATGTATTTTGGGACTCCAGAAAACAAAGGCTTCTGCACACTGTGTTTCATCGAGTACAGAGAAAATAAACGTGAGTGAAATGGTTGATTTCCTGCTGCGGCACTACTGTCAAGGAGTTTCATTATTCTCGAGCTTTAAGAAAAGGAGTCCATCTGGGCAGTCAGGCAGACTGGTCAGAACCCACCATGCTTTTCTACCGACTTGTGCACGGAGACAGACATGGTGGCTCTGCCAGCTGCACATGGAAGCAAAAGGCACTATGGGATTGCAGCAACCTCTGGATACCACATTCCAGAAACCAGAGTGCCCTGTAGGTTAGAGTACATGGAATTTGCTTTTGTAAGGCCATCCAGTGTCTGGCATTTATAAGATAGAATTTAAATTGCAACGTGGGCATAATAGAGACTCTCAAAATCTGAAGTCTAGTAGCTAGAGAGAGGGAAGTCTCCACTGACATTGTCATGGGTTTTTTTGAGTTGGAATCTCATTCTTGTCACCCAGGCTGGAGTGCAGTGGCACGCTCACGGCCACCACAGCCTCGACCTGCTGGGCTCAGGCAATCCTTCCCACCTCAGCCTTCCAAGTAACTGGAACTACAGACACATGCCACCATGCCCTGCTAGTTTTTTGTGTGTGGGTGTGATTTATTGTAGAGACAAGGTCTCACCAAGTTGCCCAGGCTGGTCTCAAACCCCCGGGCTCAGATGATCCTCTCACCTCGGCCTCCCAAAGTGCTGGGATTATAGGCTAAATCACCACACCTGACCTCCACTGACATTGTAAGGAAACATGTGGTTCTGGAAATCTCTCAGTTTTGAAAGAAGGGTGGGCAGTTAGTGTCTGCTCTTTGCTCTGTTACTGTGGCTATCAGTGCTCCATGTTCAAAGTAAGAGATTTGTTAAGCCAAAGATGTTTCAATAATAATTATTTTGCTGTAATTATAAAAGGCTGGTCATATCTATCTATCAATCTCTCTCTCTCTGTATGTATATAATAGGCACACAGACACACATATATTTATTTATTTATTTAGGGCTGGCCCAACCTGTATTTGGAACCCATTTAATTCTCTAATGTCAGTGTTTCTATATCTGCGGGGTAACCCCTGTGTGTTACTGATAAACACCAACTCTCTTGTAGATTTTGTCGCTGCCTCAGGGAAAGCCAGTCCCACAGCCTCCAGGTTCCAGAACACCGTTCCGTGCCTGGGGAGGGAATGTGGCACCCTCGGAAGCACCATGTTTGAAGGATACTGTCAGAAGTGTTTCATTGAAGCTCAGAATCAAAGATTTCATGAAGCCAAAAGGACTGAAGAGCAACTGGTAAGACCTTTTGAAGAACTTCCCCCTCCTGTGTGTCAGGGCCTCCTTGCTGGAGCAGTTTCTTCAGTTTCACTGGGGCTCCCTGCGTCAGAAGTACTGTCTATTTTCATGGCCTAAGTATACTTTAGAATTTATTTTAAAAAGCAAATGATATCAGCCTAGCATAAGACTTCTCCCAGCCTCCCAAAAGCCAGAGGTGATCAGGGACTTCTTTGATTTATAGTAAAAGCACAGACTTCTAAAATGCACCCTTTCTTAAATAACCCTTTATCCTGAGGAGAGAGTGGGCAGAGTTTCCCAGGGGCCTCCACTTGACAGCATATCAGAAAAGGAAGCTTTGACAGATAGGTGCATCTCCTGCTGTCTTCAGAACAGTAGGGAAACTTTCTAAAGAAGAGTAGCTGGTTATTAGTCCCGACAGAGGAGAGCTGAGCCAAGACTGCAGGCTCCTGTATCAGGACTAGTGGTTCCCCTCGGCCTCCCTGGGGCCAGGCCAGCTCTCCTTGGGATGGGAAGGAAATGTCTTTGGAGAGCTCTGGCTCGTAGACTACACATGCATGCTTGTTCCCTTGCTCAGGCAGATAAAGCTCTTTATAGAGCTCTTTCACACTGCCACATGAGTTCTCACTGTGTTCTCCTGAGAAATGTGAGTGACAGTCTGTCTGTTCTTTCCACTCAGAGATCGAGCCAGCACAGAGACGTGCCTCGAACCACACAGAGTGCCTCAAGGCCCAAGTGTGCCCAGGCCTCCTGCAAGAACATCCTGGCCTGCCGCAGCGAAGAACTTTGCATGGAGTGCCAGCACCCCAACCAGCGGGTGGGCCCGGGGGCCCACCGGGGGGAGCCCGCTCCGGAAGAGCCCCCCAAGCAGCGCTGCCGGGCCCCCGCCTGTGATCACTTTGGCAATGCCAAGTGTAACGGCTACTGCAACGAGTGCTTTCAGTTCAAGCAGATGTATGGCTAACTGGAAACAGGGGGCCCAGCCCCCCCAAGAAGAGGGGCTTGCAGCTGCCGGCCACCATGGTGCTATCTTCTAAACCCTCAGCTGCCACTGGAGGGTCAGTCCCTGCCACAGTGGGCTCGAGGGTGTCTTTGAGCAGAGGAGGAAAGATAAGCTCTTTGTCATGCCATGATGCTCGTGTTTGGTAATCAGGGAGTGTTCCCAGGTGGCCTTAGAGAGCACAGCTTGTGACTGGCAGTGGATGACACCAGATTCAGCCCAGGGCTCCTCCTCTCCTACCAAGCGGAGGCCAGGAACTTCTCTGGACTTGGCCGGTGTGCTAGGACTGGCCACGGCCCCTGCAACTGGCCCTCGTGCATTGTGTCATCATCTCGGGAGAGAAGGAAAAAGACATGCAATCAGGCCATTGGGAAACCCGGAGCCATTCTACCTAGCCTCCTTCAGTGTTTCCCAGAGTCATGAAGTGGAAGCATCGCGGCACCAAGGCCCTTGCAAGAAGTTCAAGGAAACTCAGGGAAAATGGACCTATTCGGAGAGTGTCAGTAGTTAGTGGTTTTCCCTGCCTGCCTAGTTCCTTTCCTGGCGTCCTGACAGAAAAGCAGAACCATCCACGGACTGTGATTTGGAGGCTGCTGAGACTGAACATGTTCATGTTGAAAAGAAAACAGGCTGCTCTTTACAATACACACCTTTTAAAAATCAAAATATTTTAGTGGGAAGACGTGGAACTCTTTAGCTCACCACTGTCTTCACTTCTAAAGAGGTTAGCTTGAACTGAGGTGTGTGTAAAAACGTGTACATATATAATATACCCTTATATTATGTATGAGGGATTTTTTTTTATTCTATTGAAATGCTGCCCTAGAGGTATCAATAGAAAGCAATAATAATAACCTGTTTTCTGGTTGTTGTTGGGGCATGAATTTGCATGAATTCATAGTTTGCATGAACTCAACCCGCTGCCTTTTTAAAGGGAGCTCTCCAGTTTTGTGTGTCATTCACTTTATTTATTTTATTACAAACTTCAAGGTTATTTAAATGAAGATATTTCTTCCGCTCTGGGGAAAATGCTGCAGTGTCTGCCTGAGTGAACGCATTTGCTTTGGGTCAGGTTATGGAACCAGGCAAGTTCCTGACCACAGTGAGGAAGTTGGCCTCTGATTCCCTTTGCTTCCCTCCTCAGGAAAGAAGGAATTGGATCAAGAGTCAGTTTGCTAAAGTCTTACACTTCTCCTTATGAAACTCCAGCCATATGAGAAGAAACTGTTCTCTGTTCTCTGTGTTCTATAGCTGCCTGGGTGTCCTACCTCCTCGGAGGGAAGGAGCAGGGACGAGACTGAGGATGGTCACAGGAAAAGATGTGGCCTTTCACGATGGTTCTGTTTGCTGTGTCCTGGGGGGTTGGCCAGTCACCTTGCATCCTATCATACCCCAGCATTGGGACAGCAAAATTCAGTGACCGTGTGAGGAAATTTCTGTCTGTCCTTGGCTTGCAGTTTCTCTGTGTGCTTTGTGTCGCTGTCATATTTGCTCTAGAATACAAGGAGGGGAAATGCATTTTCCCCAGAGCTAAAGGCTGCCATTTTGGAGGTCTGGGATTATGACATGAAGACATTTGTGATCTATAACCCTACATAGCCTTTACTCATATTATTAGACATGTTTTCCATTTGGAGCACCCTAAGTGTTTTCCTCTGGCATAAATCTTTATGATTTCTTTCTAAGAGTGTCAAATAAACTCCAGTGTTGTCATCTAGTTCTCTTAAAGTTGATATCTTATTATTTTGTGTCTACCAATATTTTCATTCTTAATGTGAAAAAATGGAATTATTTATACTTATACAAGGTATTTGAAATTTGCACATTTAGTTGTCTCCAGTAGAAAACTGTCTACTCTTATTGGATTTCTTCAAGTTTTCCTAAATAAATGTAACTTTTCACAAGAGTCAATATTAAAAAATAAATTATTTAAGAACAAAATTGGATGTTTTCTGATGATGAATGCTGAGAGAAAAAGGCTCAAGTATGAATAAGACAGTGCTTCCCAAACACCTTCTTTTAATGTACACCTGGGCAGTGGTACATTTTCTGTAGATCCATTGAGGTAAGGAAGCTTTATAATTACAATAACTGCACGAGGGTAGGGCTGTGTGCTCAAGCACAAACCTCGGGTCTAACAGCCAGGACACTGAGGCCCCGATGGGAGGGAAAAAAAAGTGCAGGCCGGGCATGGTGGCTCACACCTATAATCCCAGCACTTTGGGAGGCAGAGGCAAGAGAATTGCCTGAGCTCAGGAGTTTGAGACCAACCTGGGCAGCATGGCAAGACCTCATCTCTACCATAAATCAAAAAATTAACCAGGCATGATAGCACATGCCTGTGGTTCCAGTTACTTGGAAAGCTAGAGTGGAAGGATCACCTGAGCCCAGCAGGTCGAGGCTGCGGTGGCCATGAGCATGTCCCTGCACTCCAGCTTGGGTAACAAAGTGAGACCAATGACTCAAAAAAAAGAACTAGGACCCATGCTTCTCCATAGGTCCTTGCCCTAAGCGTTCATAAAGTGAAGAAAGAAAACAAAAGAAGAGCAGGAGAGAAAGGCAGGGAATGGAGAAGTAGATAGGCAGAGAGGAAGGAAGACTGAGGTAAGACACCATGGGTCAGTGACATCAGAAGAGGCGGCATGGCTGTGATGGGTCCCAGAAATGGGAAATTATCAAATAGCACACTCTTCCACCCACAAGCCCTCAAATCCTCCTCCTACTCAGTTCAACTATACCCACAGAAGCCTGATTCAGGAGAACTGTGAAGCTCTCAGAAGCTTTTGTTTTTTTAACCTTCCCAGGTGATTCTGATAATCAACCAGACTTTTTTTTTTTGAGTTGGAGTTCCACTCTGCCGCCCAGGCTGGAATGCAGTGGCAAACTCATGACCACCCCAGCGTCGACCAGCTGAGCTCAGGCAATCCTTCCACATCAGCTTTCCAAGTAACTGTAACCACAGGTTGGTGCCCCCACACCCAGCTAAGTTTTTTGATTTATTTTAGAGACGAGGTCTCGCCAAGTTGCCCAGGATGGTCTCGAATCCCTGGACTCAGGCAATCCTCTTGCCTCAGCCTCTCAAAGTGCTGGGATTATAGGCTTGAGCCACTGTGCCCGGTCTATCAGCCAGACTTTAGAACCACACTTTAAAAAAATTATTTATAACTTTTTTAACTTGCAGAAAACGTTAATAAACAAAGAAGTAGAAAATAATATCATGAATCCTAACATATCCATCTTCCAGTTTCCACGATAATCAACATGTTATTGAATTTGTTTCATGTATCACCCCCTCTTCTTTTACTTGCTAGACTGTTTGAAATCTCAGACATTGTGTATTGTGTCCTCGCATCCACAGATACTTGTGTGCTTCTTTTGCTTGCCATAACCACGGCAGCCATGAGTTCTGCAGCGGGCTGTGGTCCCTGCGATGGCAGCTCTGTCTGGCTGCCGCCTTGGCACTTGACTCAAATTTGGGGGCTTCCTCACCCGTGGCTTTCCAAAACTGTTGTTCCTCTCCAACACAGTGGAGACAGTGGAAAAAGACTGTTTGCCATCAAACCTTCTGGGTTCTCTGTCTGCCATTTTTTGAAATTATTGAGAATCTGCATTTTGTTGACTAAGATTCTGGTAGCAATTGGCATAACTCTGGTGAATAAGCTGAATTAACAGAAGTCCCAAAAGGCTATATCCCAGAACACTGGGAATATTACAAGCTTCCTATATCAAGATGGGTTGCCTTTTTTTTTTGAGTAGGACTCTCACTCTGTCACCCAGTCCAGAGGGCAATGGCACGCTCCTGGCCACCACAGCCTTGACCTGTTGGGCTCAGGTGATCCTTCTGCCTCAGCCTTCCAAGTAACTGGAACTACAGGTACATGCCACCATGCCAAGCTAATTTTTTGATTTATTGTAGAGATGAGGTCTTGCCAAGTTGCCCAGGCTGGTCTCAAACCCATGGACTCAGGGATTGCCTTTACTTTCTTTGATGGTCCTGAAAAGAATTATGAGAGAGCAATGGTTACCCTTCAGATAGAAGCCAAAAAGACTGAATTACAATTAAAGGAGCTGGAAGTCTGAAGATTAATGCATGAGAGAGGTGGATCCTGATACCAATATGTGACCACTGATAAGGCGCTTATTGATCATTCTCCAAAAGCAACTTCCAATAACGAATCATTTATCTCTCTAAATATCAAGTATATTCTCTTTAGTGGAAAATAAATTTATAAATATCTGTATTTTTGCTCTCTGTGATAAATAAAAGAGCTTATTCCATGACTGTTTCTCAATGTTTGTTCAGATTAAGGCTTTGACCTTGGGGTTTTGACTTTCTCTATTAAGAAGATTTGAACAAAAACTGGATAAATAACAATTTTGTGAGCTACTAAAGTTATGGTAACTTTGCTAGTGTTAGTGTTTTATTTGTCTGATAAAGGGAAGTTATAGGAAAGAAGTCTAATTACATTAAACATCAGTAAGTATAGTAGTTTGTACAAGTGTCTATATTGCGAACATCTGGATTATTGAGGATTTTAAGTTGCACAAGAAATATTGAGCCAACTATATAAAACGCTAACACCTTAATAAACAGATTTTTTTTTTCTTGAGTTGGAGTCACTCTGCTGCCCACGCTGGAGTGCAGTGGCACGCTCACAGCTACCACAGCCTTGATCTGTTGGGCTCAGGTTGTCCTTCCGCCTCAGCCTTCCAAGTAGCTGGAACTACAGGCACACGCCACCATACCTGGATAATTTTTTTTTAATTTACTGTAGAGACGAAGTCTCACCAAGTTGCCCAGGCTGGTCTTGAACCCTTGGACTCAGGCAATCCTCTCACCTTGGCCTCCCAAAGTACTGGGATTACAGACTTGAGCCACAGCACCCAGGGTGTGTTTTTTTTTTTTTTTTTGTAGGGTCTCACTCTGTTGCTCAGGCTGGAGTGCAGTGAGATGATCATGGCTCACCACAGCCTCGACCTCCTGGGCTCAGATCATCCTTCCTCCTCAGCCTCCTGAGCAGCTGGGACTATAAGCACATGCGGCCACACCTGGTTAATTCTTTATTTTAAATTTTTGGGCTACTCTCAAACTCCTGTGTTCAAGCAATCCTCCCACCTCAGCCTTCCAAAGTGCTGGGATTACAGGTGTAAGCCACCACACCCAGTATATATTCTAATTTCTCAGATTGTTCACTGTACTAGACAAAGTACTATTGCTTTTGATTATGGCTTTTTTATTCTGTAATAGTCTCTTTTAATTTTTCACATCATTAATTTGTTAGAGCAGTTGCGTCATTTGTTCTGTAGAGTATTCCACATTCTGGATTTGGTTGACTGCTTTCTTATGGTGTCATTTAACTTCTATACTTCCTATTAGATTTTGGTTCAATGAGGCAAGAATCATTCGCAGATGGTACTATGTCTCCTTATGCATCCCATCCTGTATGAGCCATATGAATGTTGGCCCAGAGGAATCACAAAATCTCAAAATGGACCTCCTCCTTTTTTCTCCATCTTCTCTTCCACCTCTCACCGGGTATTAGAAATTATAGTTCTTCAACCAGCATGATGAACATAAGCATTTGACCATAAGTCATGAGGATTTCCAAAATAGGAAGTGACTTAGAGTTAGCAAATTATCTCTGACTCAGAAGATTGGCACATAGGGAAACAGAGCAGGTTTTGAGGACATCAAGCAAGCCAGTTAGAGCAGGGCTCCCACTTGGGGTGTGGACCCACCTCTGGGAGTTGGGAGCCCTATGAGGTACAATTGTCATATATGTCCTGTTATATGCTGCAGTGTGTCTTCTTTTTTTTTTGTCTGAACTGGCTTTCTTCAGAATCTCAAAGAACTTGATAACTTTCCAAACGAGTAAAGACCTTAGGAATTCAAAGGCTGAAAAATAAAGCTTGGTAGGAACTAGCTTTGCTTCGGCTTGCCCAGATACTCACTCCCAGTGCAGGATGCCACCTTGGGGAGATCATGTCATCTGAAACTGACCTCATCATGTTTCATGCCTACCCTCTTCTTTCCATGCTGAGAGATGGAAGGGCATTATCATCTTCCCAGTTACCTCTAGATGTTTTCCCCACCTCCCACATCCAAACTTTTAAGTGTGTTTCCAAAATGTCTGTCAAATCCACCTCCCACCGTCTCCTGCTCTAGCTTGAGCCTGAGTCTCCTTCTGTCCCTTTGCCTCCAGCCTTCCCTTCCAGCCTGCTCTCTAGTTGGACCTTCACTAGCTACTTAGACTTGTAAATTAGGCTGGGATATGTGTTTCCTCTGATTAAGACTCCCTGACAGTTATCTATGGCTCCAAAAGCCTAAAGCAGGGTGCATGCCACCAGGTGGTGCAGGAATAAAATAGGAGACCTCTAAGTTTATTTTTTAATCCTAGACACTATTATATAAATCATATCTTGCTAATATTTGATATACGAATGGACACTAGTGTTCTCCCTTTTTCGGCATCCGTGGGTCACTATCACTGTGTGCGTTGCTCAGCTAGGAGGGGATGCCAGAGGCACTTTCGTGCATTCATTCGTTCAGAAACAATGCAGATGTGCCACCTGCAAACTCTATTACCTGCACACTTAAACTTGGTAACCAAGTTCTCCAGTCTGTTTAAAAGTTATTTAAGGCTGGGCGTAGTGGCTCACCCCTATAATCCCAGTACTCTGGGAGACTGAGGTGAGAGGATTGTCTGAGCCCATGGGTTTGAGACCAGCCTGGTTAACTTTGTGAGACCTCATCTCTACAATAAATTTTTTAAAAAATAGCCAGGTATGGTGGTGTGTGCATGTAGTTCCACTTACTTGGAAGGATGAGGCAGAAGAATCACCTGAGCCCAGCAGGTCATAGCTGCGGTGGTCTGAGCATGCCACCGCACTCTAGCCCGGGTGACAGAGTGAGACTCCAACTCGAAAAACAAAAAAGT